GTAAATTTCTCGTTACTAACGTTACCTTGTTCAACGCCAGCCATGTTTACAACAAATAAGCAGTTGCTTTGTTGCAAAGAAGCGTCGAATCATGGGTCGGAATTCAAAATATTATGGGATACGGTTCGATCGCAGATCGCAGAACTTTGGTTTCCATATGATCGCACGATCGCAATTGATCGCAGACGATCGCAGACGATCGCAGACGATCGCAGATGCGTGTTTCCATATCATCGCAGACGATCGCAGAACTTTTTGCGATCTGCGATCCGCGATCGTCTGCGATCATATGGAAACCAGCCTTAATAAGTGTGACAATGTACGTAGCTTGTCTACCTGGATTGAAATTACATGTACGGTAGTACGTAGCCCCTACTTCCGTTATCAATTCTGATCTGCAAAGTACATGTAGTTCCTTCACTTATACGCCTTTATATTTGCAATTAACCTGTCACAATTTACACGTTTAAAGGAGGCTACTTGGTAAAGCCATTTAAGGAAAATGATACCATGAAATGGTTGAAAAACATGAAAGAAATCAACGTGATCCATGCACCAGAAGGAGAGATAAAAACTTCCGGAAGTAATTCATTAAAGTTAGTCAACCAAGTGATAATTACAGCTTTACAGGATGATCTAAGCCTGAAGGTATGTTTAAGTTTAACAGTTCATTTGAGCAAGTAGAGTATTCCAGAAATTAAGTTCACATACCTCGAACCTTGATGTCAGCCAAATTCTTGCGGGGTTGCCTCAAGAGAACATCCACTTCTGACAGCGCTGCCTCCACTTTCAGACTAACAGTCCTTTGTCCTTTCTGACCTGTTTCGGGCTTGTTCTGTACGTCCGGTGCTAGAGTACTTGTAGACGATTCTCCAAGACTGAAATAAAACAAATTATTTTTCAATGAATTGACATTGGGCATCACCATTTCTACTTCTAGAGCCAAATTTGCCTCGATAAAAGTAGTCTCAATTTATACTATTATAATTATAGATGAAGCATCCTAATATTTTCATTCCAAGAAAAATGCTATATACACTCATGCAAGCGATCAAGAATACTTTATTTCCTGTAGCGTCGGGTTTTTAAGTATCTTGCAAAGTGAAACTCAGGACTAGAACGTCTGGACCATTTAATGGCCTCTTCACATAGGGCCTCTTCATAACTTATGCTATTTTGGTCGCTATGCTGCGAAAATGACGCTATTTTGTCAAAAAAGTTTCGTCCCGGTCACCCGGGCTTGAGTGTTTTAATGAAAAATAGTTTCAACCCGGTTGCCGAGAATCCCGAGATCTCGGTTTCTGGTAACTGGGCTGGCCCACCTTCTCATATGAACACGTCAAAATTTTAACAAAGAAAATACGAGTGAAGCGAAAACTTGGTAACTGGGCCAGCCAGATAAACCGGGCTCATATGGAGAGGCCCTAAATTTAATTACCACCGTGTTCTTGGCAAAGTGGCGTGCACCTTTATATGGGATAACAACTTTTTGGATCATAATGGCATAACGTATTACCTGGAAATAAGAGCAAGACCATGTATTTGCAAATCCATCAACGCCTTTTGCAGGCAATCGATCTTCAATTTGGAAAACGTTACTTTTATTTGCTGTTCAACGGTGCAAAAAGTCGACTCGAATTCTGGACATCTGGGATCTACCTAAAGAAAAGGATAATATCCACGTTAAAAAAAAAATGTCAGGGTCAACCTCTGTACTGATTGTCAACCCTACAATGTTAAGGACAAATGATTTGATATCGATGGGATTTGATCCCAAGACCTTGCCCAATTTTCAACTGCTCTAATGACTGTCCATGTGGTCAGAGCATGATTTTATTGAAATAATTATAACATAGAGCCACAAAATCGACTGCTTTGTAAACAATAACACCCAACAGCTAGACACAACGAACGAAAGCTCATTAAGTAAGGTCTGCTTCCCTGACCTGAATGGTAGATATTTTTGTGGTAATAATTAGCGATAAGACCAAGCGACGTTTCGGAACCGTCATGACACCATTTTCAAGTTCAAAGATAGGAAATAAACTGTCACATAGGAGATTGACATAATAAATACTAATTAGAGACTTGTCGCAATCTCTCAACGCCCAATCAGACTCAATCCGGGAAAAACTATCACAAGTTGACTAAACGCACCTTTTTGTATGAAACTGAGATCAGATCTGCGTCCCGTGAAGAAGATAATAATTTTACCGGTGAGCCATCTTCACCTGAACAAGAAAACCATCAATTAGCTACACGAAGATCTAAATCAACTTTTAAACCTCACGTTATGTGTTCCCTACTACGATCTCAAATATTTGATTGATAGCACTTCAAAACATAACCATCTCAAGCGTCTTGAATTTGCCAGAAAATGTAGCAGGTTACCTTTGAACAGTTACTTTGCAAATGAACCATTCATAAAACTGTGTTTTCTCTCAATTTTTTTAACATCTTCACCTAGCGAGTAAATGATAGTCTCTGACATTACTTTCAAGTCTTCCTTTTTGTGACATTGACACTACTAAATTAAACGCTGTTGACTTCTGTTTGGTATGAGTAAAGAGAAATAAGAATCAATAACTGATTCTATTTTATAACGATTTCTTATCTTCTCATTTCCATTATTATTTCTGACAAAAAGCAGAAATCCAAGGAATTTTTTACCTTTATTTAGATGATCAAGCAACTCTATTCCTCCAAGTTTTGCAGATGCACTAAGAATCCACGTTTCCATGGTGACAATGGCACTCATGTTGTTTGTCTCCAGAACCAAATAAGGCCTGGAAACTCCATCGACAATTTTGGGCGAACTAACTAGAACCTATAGGTAATAATCGGATTATGTTTGTAAGGAATTTACAACAAGACAGTACAGAGTGCGAAACGTAATCTAGTACAGTCAAATACCACAGTGCAACACGATTAACAAAACAAAAAAAAAGGAGTTATAATCACAATTGGGTCAGAGTAAGGCAAATGAAAATTGCTTAGGGTAAAATGTTCCAACGCGACGTTGTCGTCTGTGACATGCCTACAAATCACATATCCAGCAAGAAGGATTTGTTATTTAACTGAATTGGGCAGTTAACTTTGAGCTTATAGAAAAACAACTACACCAACCTTGGTTATAGTAAAATGACATTTAACATTTGGTACTTCCTCAATGGATTTGGCATCTGTTTTGTCCAAAGAACCTTAAAGATACACACAATCAAGTTTCTTTACATTGTTCATAGCAACTATTGCAGACATGAAACATTTTGAACCAGGCAAAGGAAATGGGTAAAGACATCACACCTGTGTCTGGTGATGTCTGCTGCCCCTCTGGTTGCTCTGTATCCACTTTAGGAACAGCTTGACGTTCTGTTTGAAAAAATGTTAAAGAGCCAAATTACTTAACTTTAAGTTCAAGGTAGAGGGGTATAAAGCATGTATAAAGACGATACATATACTTGCCCTGCTGGCCCTCCAACAAGTTACCATTTAAAATCATCATCAGCATTTGGAAATCATTGAGTCCTAAATTTATCTATGAAAAACAAATGCAACCAAAAAATATTTCAACGGTTAGTCTGCATGCTGTTTTGCTTACATGAAAATGTAACTGAAGGTGTTCCGAGCAGTAGAAATTTAAGAGCACAGGCTACTCCTCATACACATTGCGGTGAAAAAACGTGAACGTAGTAGATTTTGTACGCGCCCTTTGGTCCATCACAACTGATGAGGATCTAAGATGTTTGAACTTTATTGCTCCTTGCAACAAGCACTGCTCGCGCTCTCTGCATAAGACAGTGTTTAATATATCAGCGAAATTAAACACAGAAATCAAACATATCCATACCTTAAACAACTCCAAATTTCCCTCGACTTCAATCAAAGGAAGGTCACTCTTCTCTAAGTTCAGTCGTCTCTTTACTATCACATTCAACTCAACTGGTTCAATCAGATGGTTACTAAGACATTTCTCTACTTGAGAATTGCTAAATAAAAGAAATAGTCGTGAAGTCGAACGTACTTTCCTTAAACCGTTCATACAGTTTAGATTTATACAGTGAAATGCATTCATGATTTACATAAAATGACAAGCTAAAGGTTTTCTTACAATTTCCTTAGCTTTCCTTAATTAGTCTTTGAAAAAATACGTGCATTGAGAAATGGGGCTTTTCAGGGCCAGTAAAAACAAACAGTGAAACATAAGACGGACATGAGCATAACATGGTTAAAAATCTCAACTGGCAGGGGACAGACCAGTTGGCTATTTACAATAAAATGTCATTATATTCTACACACAATGTTCGGCATACCCTGAAACTTGGAATGAGCTTAGTGCTACATCCATCCGGTCAATAAGGCCATGCTGGGACGAGCTGACAATGGAATTAGCAATGTGCAACTGACCCAGGTCTGCAATGAGCTTCTCGCTCGATCTTGAATTGCAGGGGATTAGAATTTGTGGTGCATTCACGGAAATGTTTAATCCAATCTTTGCGCCCTGTTTTTGCTGAACCTGAAAAGAGGAGACAATGTCGGCATAAGTAGCCAATACTGGCTCTTTAAAGATTTATGTCACTTTGGAGGAAGAAGGTCTTTATTGCTTTACTACGCAAAGAGCAATACAGACAGGGTAAGATCCAATCAAGGTTTGGCGACGCCAAAGGAAGTTATATTACTAGATAGGAAACAAACAAAGAGCTTCGCAAGAAGCTCGAGTGTCTTGACCTTGCAAGTTCAACCATGTCGCACAATATGGTGATAAAAAAGGAAGAGAGCATAAGAGTTACGTCAATAGGGTTGTATTCCCTTCGGAAGGTAAACCATGCAAAACATGTAAACTGGTAGAGAATAGAATGAGAGGTTTTCAAAAGTTAGACAACTTGATAGGCAAAGAAAACAATAGAGACATCAGAAATTTTTCGTCATGAATCGATAACGGACACAAGAGCCTCCTGACATAAGTCTGGTCGAAGAATTGCCACTGGTTGTTTCCAATATGGAAACGCCGGTCTAGGTCTACACTGCTAACTAACCCATTCACTCACCTTGTTCAAAACAGCTTTCTGAGTTACTTCTTGGGCGTATGCAACTGTTTCTGGACTGACAAGTGCTTGGAGGAAATTCTACAAACAGCGATTGCAGTTTTAAAAAAAGGTTCATAAACACAAAGTGTGAGCACGTTTTGTTGCAAGCAAGATTAATATAATTACTGTGGGGATTTGCAAGAATGCGCGCAAGCACGAGTGATAATAACAGGTTTGGTTGCAAAGAACAATGTTGCACAAGGCTAAATCCAGAATAGAGAACAAGAAGTGCTTACGGAAACAACTACAAAAAAGACATCAATAATCATCGCAGTTCTACACAACTTAAGCAGTTGTGAAAGTAAAGCCTGAAAAAAATTCAGGTCTGTACGGGATTCCAACCAATGACCTTTGGGATACCGGTGCAGTGCTCTACCAACTGAGCTATCAAACCAACTGGGATCTGGTTACGTTGTGAGTTCCTACTATACCCGTACATATGGTGAAGATACAAATGAATAATTTAATGAAAGATCTTACATTTTAACTGTCTTTGGATCTGCATCTTTCTCCGAAGTTCAATTTTATGGTCTTTCATATATTTTCACTTGTACGAAAAAACTAATCTTGCAAACCTGGGGTTACATAAGTCACGAAATACAAGTCAATTGCATTAACAATACACATACTTGAAGATGGGCTACAAAATAGCCAAGAAACACAAATCGGAGCTTTCCAAGTTTTACATTGACTGAGAAATCCAGAGCTGTCGGATCCTGGTCTGCAAAAGCACCTTGCGAGGACTTGTTAAAGATTGTTATCTTAAAGCAAAGTAAATGAAAAAAACTAGGTACAGGATTCAGTAAATAACAATTCTATAGTTAACTTTATTTTAACATTGTGCACGCTGATTTTGTATACGATTGGTTTGGATCTAGTGCCCAAGCACCTAGCCTCCAATTTTTTATCACCTACGCTAAATAATTATCTTGACCGTGTTGAACAAAGAATAGCGATAAAAAGATATAACATATATGACGAAGCGTTCTCAAGTCGAATTACTCAAAATTACTCCGAGTAATTCGACTTGAGAACGCTTCTTCATTTATTTCACTTTACCCAAGTCACCAATTCACGATAACAAAATATGTTATTTTTCTTCTAAAGGGACGTATGTAAACTTTGAACCAATTGAAAGGAAATGTCTAAGTGGCACAACTATTTTGCTATATATTAAGTAATTTAAGTAACGTGGCAATTTAATGTTAAAGTGTTGTAAGTAATGCAATGTAACATGAGTTTGAGTACTGTTAGTGTTGTATTTGATTTAATAAATGTGACTTCAACTGGTCGTACCAGGTAACAAATAATTTAAATTATTTCTCCATGTTGTGATACACAATATCGTATAGCCTAACAACCAACTCACCTGGCAGTCGAAAACTGTGTTATCCGCCAAATCTAAGATCTTTTAAAACAAACAAAACATATAATATTGTGTAATATCACGTTAAACTGTGACTAACAAGACGTCGAACCATCACAAAAAAAGATAATGCAGTACACTAGAAATATTACCTAATGAATATTGACTTTGTTGCAAACTCATGCAAACAGAAATGATTATAAAATCAACGTCCTTTTACATCAGGCCTATGAGATGAAAAGCAAACAATGTCAAAGAATTTGTCCTTACTTGAGGATACAACGTTCCTTTTGTGAGATCTTCAATACCTAAGTCTTCCAATCTGACAGAAAAAAAGTTACATAACTTAAAAGACTGGCTTCAATCTTAGTATAAGGAGATTTAAAGGTACAATCACATGACTTGTCTTAACGTTACATTGTAGGATGCACAGAGTCGATAATCTTCATATTTATCCGTACTTACTTGGCTGTTATGTTTGTCTCGGCAGTAAACACATCTATTTTGACATCAAGCCCTACCAGTGAATAAACAGAAACATTTCAACAACAACAACAACTTTATTTGTACTCACTCATAGCTAAAATTTAATTGTACTAAAAAAAAGTTTAAAATACAAATTAGTACATGGCTGCCCGAAATAACCTTAGTGAGCTAATAACACTGGGCAGCCATCCTCAGTCATTAAAGCAATTATTTATTTGGGTCAGATTAGAAGAGAAAATAAGGAAACGGCACATGCAACAGCACACAAAGCACACACACACGCGCAAAAAAAAGACTAATTATACTTACAGATTCAATTTTAGGCAATAGTTTCGCAACGGCGTAAATTGCGTACATAAATGTAATAAGAAATAATAACTTTAGTGACAACGTGTATAGCTTAATAAAGCTAATTGAGGACACTCCAAATTATAATGACAGAAGACTGAAAGAAAAATATCTGTCACCGAGCCCGCAATTAATGCATCAAGGAGAAATAAACTGAGGACTTCTTGACGTAAAGACTTTCTAAGCTTTACATTAAACACTTAATCGCTGGTTCCGAGAGAAACATCAAGATCTGATTCCAGAGAAAACAGAATATTAACTCTTTTTAACGGACCAGTGTTTCGTTGTATAGCTACAGTTAAATGTAAAGTCATTAGTCAAGGAGAAGTACCCTATGGTTAGAGGGAGAGCAGGCAACAATTGCTTACTTGTTGCCCGCCAGGCAACATTTGAATTGAGCAATTACCACGTGACCATAAATCAACCAATGACACCGACTTACCCTTCACATCCACCTTCCCAACATGGCGATCCATGGAACTAAGAATGACAGTGACTTTTTCTACTTCTGCAACAACCTTGAAGTTGACCGCGTCTGAATCACTTTGTGATTTCTTATCTTCTGTTTTATTCTTCGTAGTCACTAATCATGGGCGATCAAAACAACAGAGGCAGTTAGAACAGTTATACAGTCGTGAAGCCTCTTACTTATGAAAGTTAAGAAAATGGCGACATGAAAAACGTTGGGAGCAAATCGACCGGTTTTAAAAACCATTTATTGCTTATATTCTTTGTTTCATTTGTATCTTCACCAGGATTTTTATCCAAACGTTTTCTAGTGGCTGTTAGTTACATTGAGCCGTGGGTTCAATGTCTTGGGTATACGCTAGTCTCTTCCAGGCGTTCAGTTAGTTGGGGCGCAGCGCGAAAAATGGCGCAGGGAAAAATTGGGGAGAAGCGTGACGCGGGAAGGCGAGAGAACGGGCGGTTGGTCGCTCCTCACCCAAGTCTCACTCTCCTTTATTTCGCTCCGCCGTTTTGACGCGCTGCGCCCTAACTTACTGAACGCCTGTAAGAGGCTAGGTATGCATTTGAAAATTCCCAGAAACACTTAGGAAGAAACGGTTCTCTCGATCCAGACAGCGTATTTAAATGAGAAAGCGTGAAACTTCTACCAACATAAAATGTAATCCTACATGGGACAAGTTCCAAAAGTGAAATTCTGACAAGATTCGTCGGTTACAAGGGAAGTATTTGCCAAAAATCCCTTCACAGGTATTTACTCTCTCAGTAACGCTCGAGAATCAAGGACATCACAGCTGACGTGGCATGCTCTTTGAAAACTGAATTTTCACAACATATTGAAGTCAATACTCATAAGAATTTGCGATACCTTTCGTGGCAACGGAGCTGTCAAGTTGATCCTCTTCCGTAATAGTCTCTAGCAATCGTCGAGGGACATTTTCCCACTCAGGTTCAAGGCCAGTGCTACAAAAAAATAATAATCAAAAAGTCCAATTCTTCAACTTCTACAGTGTGCTCGAAATTACATCACGTCTCTAACTGGTTTAATGGCTTAATTCAGGAATATATAGCCTTAAAGTTGAGAACATTTCAACTACTGTGTTGTTTAGCTTGTCTTATAGAGGATAATAGGAAATGGTGCAAAGTGGCCTACACGAAAGACATGAAATTCATCACTGGCGGCATGTTCACAAATCGATCAATATTTATTGCTGTATTTTGAGGTAAAAATAGCATCAATTCGAGACGTAAGTAACAAAAATATATAAGTAAAGCACATCTTGAAAAGGAAAGCAACATGGACCCTACAAGGTTGCCCTAAAAAGATTAAAAAAGATAGAAGTAAATAAGATAACTTTGTACAAAATCTGACAATATGTAAGAGACCAAAGTTACAGTTTCAATTCATTGTTTCAAAGGGGTTTATGTCTTTCTAGGCGATACAACAAGTTGGTTTTTTTCCATTTATGTGCTTAAACGTAATCAACAGTATTTGGTATAAGTAAAGCCCTGGAGCCGATGGCTCATATCCCGGTTTCTGTAGCATGAAGTGGTTAGGAGTAATTCTACTCCCCCTGGACGGGATGCTAGTCCATCGCAGGTCACTCCCCCACAACTTGTTAGGTTTCCCCAACAAATCGCCGGTACCTATTCATACTCCTGGGTGGAGAGAAGCACTGAGAGAGTTAACTGTCTTGCCCAAGAACACAACACCGTGTCCCCGGCTAGGGCTCAAACCCGAACCGCTCGCTCCGGGGACGAACGCACTAACCATGAGGCCACCGCGCCTCCCAAAGGTATATAGAGATAAAAAACGTCTGAGTTGTTACCTTTGAAACAAGCTAAGAACAAATATTTGAAAACTTGCTAGGGCCTCCTGTTTGGCTGTCAGTTTCAGCGAGCTAAACCTCATTTCTATAAGTTGCTCAATAGAGTAGAACGTCTCCTTAAACTCTGGGCCTGAGGGATCGGCCTAAACACACAAATAAGCAAAGACAATAATTGATAAGGAAGTAGGAATCTCAGTACGAAAGAAGTATGTTTAAAAACAAATGTATAATATCTTAATTGACCACTCCCCCAATGGGGCTCTTCAGGGCTACTGGAGAAAAAACGTCCTAAAGGAGGATAACATGGTTAAAATCCTCGACCGGCAGGAGGCAAATTGTACGTGGTCCAGGAGTTGAACTTGGGACTACAGAGAAACACACCAGCTGGTGGTCAAAATGGGACTTGAACGGGACCTCCGGACTTCAAATCCGGCAACCTGCAATTCGGTCACACTGCCTGAATGCGACCTAAACAAGTAATCAAAGGTGACGCTACTGAAAATATGGAAATTTCTTGTCACAATACTTATCACAGGGTGTGTCAAGCAATCCGATAATTTTTCTTGAGAATGTACCTTGACGTAATTGATTGTAATCCAATCATCTGTCGCGAATGAGGTAAGCAGGCAAAGATTGGAGCCATCAATGTCTGTATATCAAGACAAAAAGAGGATTAAAGAAGTCCAAAAGTAACAACTCCGCCAAAACAATTGTATTAAATCTTAAAAGTAAAAAATATATCTTAAAAAAAATGAAATAAACAGTAAAAATAACTGGTAGAGTACGAAAAAGTCTTCCCACTTTCAAAGCATGCCTAAAAGAACA